GGCGCCGCCGAGGGCCAGGAGGCGACGCACCCCGGGCCTTGCTGTCCACCCCTCGCGGCTCCTCGTCTTCGTCGTCGCCGCCACCGCCCGCCAGGCCCTGGTCGTCGGCTTCGTCCGGTGAGCGGCCCGGAGGCCCGAGGCGGCGGCGGCCCCGACCCAGGCCTCGGCCCCCACGACCCCGCGCTCGGAAGCGGCCCGCCGGTTCGGGTAGCCGCGGGGAGGAAGAGGAAGAGGAGGATGAAGGGGGCGCCGACGACGGGGAAGCTGAGGAGGAGCCGGAGGAAGAAGAGGAGGAGGAGGATTTGATCGATGGCTTTGCCATCGCCAGCTTCGCCAGCCTCGAGGCCTTGCAGGTGGGGCCACAGGGCTGTGGGGGCCCTTGGGGGCTCGAAAGGGGGCAGAGACGCGGGTAGGGTGCTTGGGGGTGCTGGCACCCCAAACCAGAGCAACCGGCTCCTCTGGCCAGGTCTCTGCCCCACCCTGGGGTGGGAGGAGGTAGAGTTGGTCTCCAGGGACCGGCCAGATCACCAGGCCTGTGAGGCTCTGTGGTAGCCTGGTCACCCCCAGAGAGGTGGGGAGCTTTCTTTTTCCATCCAGTTAAGTTGCACCTCCTCTTCCACAGAAGGATGCATCTCTTCAGCCCCCAGAGCGACTGGAACATCGGCTGAAGCATTCTGGGAAACGGAAGAGGGGGGGCTCCAGTGGGGCCACTGGGGAGCCAGGGGACAGCTCTGATCGTGAGCCTGGCCGGCCCCCTGGGGACCGGCCCCGCAAATGGCCCAACAAGCGGAGAAGGAAAGAGGTGAGCTTATTCTACACCTCATCCTTCAAAGCTGTTCGGGTGAAGGGCCCGTTCTGCAGACCCATGTTCTGTCAGGAGTGCATTGCCCATCCATTCGAAAGTCTGATCTCTGTCTCTAATGGCAGAGAGGGAGGCAAAGCAAATTTGAGGCCTCCCTGTCCCCTCAGTTCAGGTCTGACCAAGACTTGTACCTAATCTGGCTCCTGTTTGGTTGGCATATCAACTTTAAATGCATTGATAACTCAGGAGAATTTAGTTGAATTGTAAATACGTTAGGAGTCGGTCCTACTCTTCCGTTTGAGGTGGTGGTGGTCTCAACTGGGAAAAACTCAGTCGACAAGCAAACACCTGGACCACAGCTTGAGAAGCTACCCCAGGCAGAGAGCTAGGAGAGGTGTTGCAGAAACCCCCATGAGGAAGCCACTCTTTCTGCCTGGGGGATGGGAGGAGGGTTGTGGTTAGGGAAAGCCCCCTAGGATGTCTTAGTCAGGCACTGAAGTACATGCAGAAGTTTGTTAAAAGAAAAAATGGAGTAAAGTTGTTTTGGGCTTAAGCACGTAGACGTGAGAACATGATGTTATTTAGAAAATGTCAAGAGCATAGGAATACAGGTGGGTAATACCTGGTACAGCAGCTAAAAAAGAGATTGAAAGTAGATCTGAGAGACCTTGAATGCCTGGGAGTTGAAACTCAGTTGCCTGGCCAGTCAGCTTCACTTACTGTGGACTCTGGTCTTCCTCAGGCCTTCTCCCGGCACTCTGTGGAAGCTGGATACATAGTAAGTGTCCCTACCTGTGCTGCCCTCCCCTTCCTGTGGGCCTCCACTCACCTTCCCTCTCCTGACACCTCTCTCTCTCCTCCCCAGTGTGATGCAGAAAGTGATCTGGACGAGAGGGTGAGTGGGGCTAGAAGTCTGTGTGGGTGGGCAGTGTGGCAGCTGATAAAATGGTTTGCAGCTTAAAGGCCTTCTGCCTGTTGCAGACCCCTCCCTTTGAGTGGGGAACATGGGTTAGGTTGAACCAGGATTAGCCTTTTGGGATGAAGTGGTGGAGCTAAGAGGGAAAATGGCCTTTTATTTTATTTGTGCCCAGGGCTACTTCCCAGAGAATAGAAGGCCACATCTCTGTGTACTATCCTTTCCAAAGTCCCTGCAGTTACCACTGGTTCTCCATAGGAGTGCAGAGTTGCTGTGAAATTGAGGTGGTCCTTCCTGTTGTCTGCGGTTATAATCAGGGTCTCATACGTGAGCATTTGGCATGGCCACGGCAGTGAAAACACGAAACCACTGTAGTTACGCTAGGAACTCAACTTGTAAAAGGTCTATTTCAGTTTGTTAGTAGGTCTGATTCTTGCTTGTTTTGAGTTAATGAACTCGGGCAACTAATGTTGTACCCATTTAAGTTACCAAATTTGCATCCCTTATGTGTCTTGCTTTCTTTCCAATGTTGGCTGGGTAGGAACAGCCTAGAAAATAGGCTTCCACCTAAAGGGGATGACAGAAGTCCAGTTCTAGCTGATTGTTGCCACACGAGAATGGAGTCCATTCTCACACTTGATCTTAGCCGAAAGGCCGAGAAGCGATTGGAGTCCATTCTCTAGAGAACCTGGAGTCGAGTTTTAATGACGAACCTTCCAGGTTTCAAAACATTAGCAAAGATTTTGCTGACACTTAGGGACCTCACAGGTCTGCAGGCAGGTAGTTCTGTGCGATAGCAGTTAGTGACATTCTGGCTTTGATTTGCCTGTTCACTGCCACTCCTTTTCTGCCTCATTTCAGTCCTGGCTGGCAGGTTCTCAGGCTCAGCTGCACTACTCCTTTCTCCAAGTGTAGACTCTGCAGAGCACACTGTGCTAGAGCTTAGCGGAGCTGGTGGGTCAAGCCTAACAGCCTGCCTCTGTAGTGGGCCCCAGAGGCTGGCTTTCCTGGCCTGGTTGCCACCTGACTGTCTCTCTGTCCTTCTTTTCCCCAGGTCTCTGATGATGACCTCGATCCGTCCTTTACTGTCTCAACCAGCAAAGGTTGGTAATGGCGGAAACGGAGGTGAGGGAGGGAAACCATATGAGCCTCAAACTGAGCTTGTCCGCTGTTGCTCTCACAGCCTCGGGCCCCCACGGCACCTTCAATGGGAACTGTGAAGCAAAACTCTCCGTGGTCCCTAAAGTGTCGGGCCTGGAGCGGAGCCAGGAACAGCCCCCAGGGCCCGACCCGCTGCTAGTGCCTTTCCCCCCGAAGGAACCACCACCTCCGCCGGCCCCCCGGCCTCCGATCTCACCCCCTGCACCTTTGCCGGCCGCCCCCAGTCTGCCGCCCCCACCCCAGCCCCAGCTGCAGCTTCGGGTCTCGCCCTTTGGCCTGCGCACTTCTCCCTATGGCAGCAGCCTGGACCTCAGCACTGGCAGGTGAGTGATCAGGGTTTTGCTCTGAGCCACAGGCCCTGGTTATCCTGGTGTCGACTCTTGCACATTGATAGAAGTTACAAAAATTCCTGCAGGGCTTGCCTGGGCCCTTTGTGCATTTATGTGGAAGGAAATCCACTTTGTGTGGTTTCCCTCTTTTATTTGCTGGTAAGAACTCTGAAAGGCACATCTGCTGGGAATAATGTTCTTTGTAACATACTTTGGGAAATGCTGACATGCTTAAGAATGCTGGCTTTGGTGTCAGTCAGACCTAAACTTGAATTCTTGCTCTGTCACTTACTTGCTGTGTGATTCTTGGCAAGTCACTTAGCCTCTCTGAGCCTCGATTTCTTTTTCTTGTGCAAGGAAATAGTACGTTCCTAGTAAAGCTGTTTGCGAGGACTGATTCTGAGTGAATTCAGTATTTCCCAAAGTGTGCGCGCTCACTGCAGTGGACAGTGGAATGATGTCAGGTCTTACCTGAGTAGACGGTAAAAATACCCACAAGGTAGCTTTTATGTGCTTTAGAAAAAGACGTTTAGTACCGCAACTCCTTGATTCCACGTTACTGCTTAGTGTGAGGCCAAAACGGACAGTTATGTTTCAAAAGTAAGTGGTGTAGCACGGGTGGCTGCGTGGCTGCGGTGACACTTGGGAATGTGGTGTGAAAAGGAGGGACCTGGCCTTAGCTGGGCGGGCAGGTGCCAGCTCTTGGCCTGCAGTGTGTGCTGCCCCCAGGGTGAGAGCTGTGGTGCTGTTATTGCTGGTGCTTCACTGTGTTCATCATCATCGCTACCATCCTTGAGAAAACTAAGGCTCGGAGAGGGGCAGTGACTTGCTCAAGGCCACCCAGGGCGCATGTGGCAAGCTGGGCCTGGAACTCGGGTCTCCTGACTGCGGGCAGGCCAGCTTGGGGCTGCTTCCACTGTCTTAGGGTGGGAACCCAGGTGGCCCCTTGTAATTAAGCGTCAGGATGAATGATCTGTTTGTGCTGAGGTTGACTCGGGAAAGGGAAAGGGAAAGCGAAGGGCCAAGAAGGGAGGCAGCTGCCTGAGGAGGAAGTCTAGAGAGGGAGAGGTGGCTCTCCCTGGGGGCACTCCCGGGACTGGGCTCTGCCACCCCCAGTGTGGAGAAGCAGGGTCACGGTGTCCCCAGGCTGCTGCCCCCCCATCAGAGCCTGCACCTCCCACCCCTCACTCATCTCCCCACTTCTCTCCCCAGCTCTTCACGGCCGCCCCCCAAGGCCCCGGCCCCTCCCGCGGCTCAGCCTCCCCCCTCATCATCCTCTTCGTCCTCCTCCTCTTCCTCTGCCTCCTCCTCGTCCACGCAGCTCACCCACCGGCCCCCGACGCCCTCACTCCCACTGCCCTTGTCCACCCACGGCTTCCCCCCACCTGGGCTGCGGCCCCCACCCCCACCCCACCACCCCTCCTTGTTCTCCCCTGGCCCAGCCCTACCCCCACCCCCGCCCCTGCTGCAGGTGCCAGGGCACCCTGGGGCCTCAGCTGCTAACGCCCTTTCTGGTGAGTTTGGGGTCCCAGCCGGGGGTTGGGGGACAAGGGGGGCCATGACCCTGAGCTTGGGCCCCTGCAGTTTTGGGGGATCTGGACCACAGCAGGCAGCAGGGCTTGAGGAGGGAGTGACCCAAGGCCAGAGAGAAAGCCAGTTACCCTAGGTCTAGGAGGCTGACAGGGCAGAGACAGACTTTAAAGCCTTTTCCCCTCCCCTCCCACAGAGCAGGACCTGATCGGCCAGGACCTGAACTCTCGCTACCTGAATGCCCAGGGTGGCCCTGAGGTGGTGGGGGCAGGGGGCTCAACACGGCCCCTGGCCTTCCAGTTCCACCAGCACAACCACCAGCACCAGCACACCCACCAGCACACCCATCAGCACTTCACCCCTTATCCCCCGGGCCTGCTGCCTCCCCACGGCCCCCACATGGTGAGCTCTGCCTTGGGCCGGATGTACCCGAGGCCTGGGGGGAAGGTGTGGCTCCCCAGGGAAGATCCTGGGGCCCTGGCTGGCAGCTTACTCTTCCCTTTCTTCCCTAGTTTGAGAAATACCCAGGCAAGATGGAAGGCCTTTTCCGACATAATGTGAGTGTGTGTGTGTGTGGGTGTGTAGGTGTGGTGTGGTGTGGTGGGCATGGCCACATCGCTACATGTGGCCCTGATGGTCGGGTCCAGGCTTCCTCTCCAAAGCAAGAGCCTTGAGCCTGGGGGAGCTCCCTGGAGGGTTTAGGGTGGAGGCCAGAGGGCACCTCTGCCCCCTGCTTGGACTAGTGCCCTTCTCTCCGCAGCCGTACACGGCCTTCCCTCCCGCAGTGCCCGGCCTCCCTCCGGGCCTCCCGCCGGCTGTCTCCTTTGGCTCCCTGCAGGGGGCCTTCCAGCCCAAGGTGAGCTCCTGGTCAGATGATACCACCACGTCCTGCCCCTAACAAACCCAGATACCCGTTGGTCTTCCTGTTCCCCAGAGCCACGCCTAACCTCCCACCCTCCCTGCTGCACCTGGCATTTTGCACAGCCATGCTCCCTGCTCCCTGCTCCCGCCCCTGCCTAGCTTGGTTCTAGATCCCTTCTGTGCTTGGTGCCAGCTCTCCTTTCTGATCCCTTCACTCCCCTTTCCCAGAGCACGAACCCTGAGCCGCCACCACGACTGGGGCCAGTACCGAGCGGGCTCCCCCAGAAGGGGACACAGGTGAGGGGGGCCAGGGCAGGCCCTGGGGGAGCTGGAAGGAGGGGAGAGAGCAGTTTTGACTCTAATACATAGTTAGAGACCAGGGAGATGGCTTAGTGGAATAAGCACTTCCCTGGCAAGTTCAATCCCTGGTTCTGCCAAAAATAAAAATAAAAATAATTTTAAAAAAGAACACTTTTGAGCTGGGGAGATGGCTCAGTGGGATAAGCGTTTCCCTGGCAAGCGCAAGGACCTGAGTTCAATCCCCGGTTCCG